TGGGGGGGGAGAAGAGAGAGAGAGAGCAGAGCAAGGCAGCTCCGTCCGGGGACACACACACACACACATACACACACACATACATATATCCATGTAACATCCAGCAACAACCACCAAACCGGCCTAAATAACAACCGTACTCGGCCAGCCAGGGGAAACGAGAATTAAAAAAAAAAAAAAAAAAGTAAAAAAAAAAAAAAAAATCAACAAAGCCTACCATTATTTTTCTTTTCAAATTTTTTTTGGGGTTTTTTTTTTTGCTGGCTTGGTTTTTGTTGTTGTTGTTGGCTTTTTGCAACCTTTCTATTTTATATTTTTTACCCCTTCTTGCAAGTAACTCTTCTCGGAGTTCCCAGATTTTCTTTTTTTTTTTTTTTTCCTTTGTGAGTGCTGAAAACCTTGGGACAGGACACAGAAAGACTCAGGATTTTCCATCCCTTGAGGAGGTGTTTGTTTTTTTTTTTTTTTAATTATAATTTCTCCCGGCTTTGGACTCGGGAGGGAGCGAAACCTCGTCACTTTTTGTAGTGGTGGTGGTGTGCCTTGTTGTGTGTGTTTCCTTCCTCCCCTCTGTTCTTTTTCTCTCTCCCCTCCTCTCGCTCCCTCTCTCCCCCCTCACTCGCACGACAGCCCCCGGTAAATGAGAGGAGACAGGTCCTCTCTGCCTTTTTTTTTTTTTTTTTTTTTTTCCCTCTTTCCATCTGTCCTTTCTTTTTTCTCTAGAAGAGGAGCAGGTGCTCCCTGCTTTTTTTTTTTTTTTTTTTTTTCTCCCCGGACCGCAAAGGCGAGATTAAAAGTGGCGTTTTAGTGCCTTTTCCTGCAATTTTCTCTACACTTTTTTTTTTTCCTCTTTTTATCTCCAGTAGCGATCTCTGGGGCTGAGGTTTCCGCAGAAAGTTTGGGGGCTGTTACGGTGTGTATTTTTGCGGAGGGGGAGGGGAGCGGGCTCCTTCTGTGTGTGCTGCTCCTCTGGGTGCCTATTGGAGAATAATAGTGTAAGTGACAACCTAGAAGTAGACTTTCTGCTCTTCACACTGGATAGAAAAGCTGCCTTTTTTTTTTTTTTTTTCTTTGCTGCTTTTTTTTTTTTTAAGAACCCCCTTTCTCACTTGCTCCTGTACGCATTGCTTTTATTTTTGAAAGGATAGCTAGACTTAAGTCACCCTCCACCTCAATTTAGACCTGCTACTTTATTTTTTTTTTCAAATATTATTACGAATTCCTCGTTTTGAGCGTTACACTTGTCTGATCAATTTGATCTTCAGCTCCTTCTTCCGTTGCTAAACCTCGAAAACTGGCTCTCTCAAAAGATATTTAATCTGTATTTTTTTGTCCATTGCCATTTTTGCTCATGGCTACTCTCTTTCTCGCTATCTATTTTTGCCCCTCCCCGCCTAGAGGAAAATAGCAACAAGAAAAAGAGAAAAAAAAAAAATAAGAGAATATTAGGGGAAGTAGTCCTCAGGTCTGCTGCCCCCCCCCTCCCCCCCCCCTCCAAAAAGGGGGGGACCTAGAAAACATCAGTCTTGAACTTCTTCCTCTTCAAGAGCTCGGGCTGCAAAGGAAACCTCCTTTGTTTTTGTTATTTATATGCTGTCAAGTTTTGAAGTGGTGAGTTTCGGGTCGGTTTTGCTAATTTCACTCAGAAAACTGCAGTGTTTCTGTTTCTAGATAAGTACTTTGCTTCTTTGTCTCTTTAAAAGGTCACAGGGAAAGCTTGGCCTGGATTGGGAGAGCCATATGGAACGGATAAGCGCGGAGCCTCTCTCAAATGTGATTACGGGTTTTTATGGGGGAGGGAGGGAAGAGGAGGGGAAAAGGCATGGGGAGGGGGCTGTTTCCAGGAGGAGAGAAAGAAATAATAGAATACCGGCGGCGGTACAGCGCGACAAAAAGGAGATTCCGCACCGAGGCTCATTCAGAAATTGCGCGGGGTGCCCGGAGGTGCGCGCCGGCGCTGGGAAACGCTGCCTCGAATCCCTGCTCCGCTCTCCCTGCCTCTGCCGAAAACTTGTAGTTTGTGAGAGATGCCTAAATGTGCCAAAGCCGGGGAAACTACTTGGCCTGGAACCGGCGGAGATGCTGGTTCCTCCCCGCAGCCCTCTCTCTCTCTCTCTCTCTCCCTGGGCAGGCCACGCTGGGTTGTTGCTCATCACTTATTCCAAACTGAGGTTTCAGTGAACTTTAGCCTTGGGCATGGAGTTTAAATGAGTAAATTAGGTGTTTTATGTGCATGTAATTTTGCTTTGTAACATAAAGCTTTTTACAAGATGACTAAGCGGTGAGAGGATGCCGATGGGTGGGTATTCTCAGGCCAAGCGAAAATGACCCATTTGGTGTTTTGGTTGTAGTCAGTGTTATTAACTAAACTGCCATCTATCACTTTTATTCGCTGTACATGATGTAGTGCGATTCTGACTCATGATGACTAGATACTTTTTGTAGCAAAGAACCTCGGTGCCTTAGAGTACTTCTGAACTTGCCAAAAGTGACAAGGATTTTCTTGTTTCAGGCTGCTTTTTTTTTTAACTTCCCCCCCTTCCCCCCTTTTCTTTTTTTTTTTTCCTCTTTTTTTTTTGTTAATCCTCTTATTCTTGAGAGAAACCAGTCTCAGAAAAGCAGCCCTATAGTATGTTAGCATCGTCAGAAACATCGGAAGATGTTAATGGTTTGAGTCTGTAATTCTTTGCTTAGGCTGCAGTTAGCACAGTAAAAAAAAAAAAAAATCTTTTCAAAAAGTGGCTAAAATAGGCACGTTTACTGTTAATGAGACACACGACCTAAAACAGATGGGATCAAAATGAATGGTAAATCTTGGGCTGTCACCTTACAGCATAAGGAAAAAAGGAAAAAATAGCGATTTTCTGAACTTCAGCTATTTAGTGGCATTCTTGAGGTTGCTTGTAAACGTTCAGATTAATATATTACGTCTTACTTCACCATATCGGGAAAAGCAGCATGGTGTTCAAACAAGAAAAAAATAGTTTACAGAATTATCACTGGCATATATACTAACAACGTAGATGTATTAAAAAAAAAAAATCCCAAGATGTTTAGGCTTTAATAGCTTTGCTATGAAATGTGCAGAAAATGTATTGAATTACTAGGCAACTGAAAGAAAGTAGCAATTATCAGATTCACACCAGTCTTTCGAAATGTGACTTTCCCAGTGTTAGTATTTGTACTTGCTAATGTAAATACTAGTTCAAAAATTAATGTCTAGTCACCTGTCCTTAGTGATTATATTATATACATAATCGTCAGTGTAGTCACACTTTTCTCAGTCAGAGAAAGGTAGGATAAAATACCTAACAATCACAACAGTATTGATGAATGAAATCATAACCAGAAAGATGTCTCTGTTCTCAGCACCTGATTGTTTTTTTTTTATATATATATTTGGCAAAACAGATTCTGATGAGTGACAAAAATTCTCAAAACTTCCTCCTTTATGTTCTAGGCTTGAGAGATTTTTAGTGATTTAACTGGAATTGTTATTCATGAACAGAGGTTTCAAAAGTTTATAAAAAGGGAAATATAGGCATGTTAACATATACCTTTTCTTAATTTGCTATTGAAATTACTTCTGGTTTTTGGTTGCAAATAGCTGTGCCAGCATGTAATTTAGCATCACCCGGGGTTGGGATTGGGTTTTTTTTAATATTTAAGGGCTTGAAAAGTACTGTAGAAATTGTGGGGGTTTTTTTCCAGCATTATGTTTTGTGGGACGCTACCTTCTCTTCTCGGTTATTTTTCTTAATTCAATAAACTACTCCATTTAACACTTAATGCTTAACATCTGAAAAATTTCATATGCATATTTTGAACTTTGCTAAAGTTAAAAAACTCTTTGTAGAATATTAGTTAGGAAACTCAAAAGCAACCATCTCCCGCCACTGCTTTCTGAAGTTAAATGTTAAATTCTCTTCAAACTTTTGTTTTTAAGGGGGGGAGGACTTGCAAATGGTCAATATTCTACATCTCTAATAAATCTGTTGCTCCCTCAACTAAAGTTTTAACAACCTATTGTTGTGCATCCATTCACTAGAATCTTTTTCTTTCTCTATCTCTGTGTCTCTCTCTCTTTTAATGCAATAAAAACACCTGGGATTAATAACAAACCTTTCTGTGAGATTTGTAACAATAGCTGTGTTGGAGCACATACCTTGACAATCATCATCATTTATGTGAGTCTTAGTGCCTCTCAGATTTAGTAGATTATCTCTGAAGTTGATGTTTGTTTTTTTTTTAAAGGGGTACTCTAGTTGGCTTTTAAAAAATATTTCGACCAGATTATGATGCGATCTCTCTGTGAACTGGGGTATGAGGTCATTTTTGGAGAATAAGTTTGTTTCTTTTAAAAAAGGCATCTTGTCTCCAGTTAAAATAGTTATTTATTCTTCTTTATGAGCTTACGTTACATCTATATCTCTCTCTGTACATGTGCAGGCTGTGTTCGTATACATATGCGCACACGTGTACAACATATATATTTTTTTTTTTGAATCATGGCAGGTGATCTTTAGAGGCGGGACTGAGTATGGATCATTTGAACGAGGCAACTCAGGGGAAAGAACATTCAGAAATGTCTAACAATGTAAGCGATCCGAAGGGTCCACCAGCCAAAATTGCGCGCTTGGAACAGAATGGGAGCCCATTAGGAAGAGGAAGACTTGGAAGTACAGGAACTAAAATGCAAGGAGTGCCTTTAAAACACTCTGGACACCTGATGAAAACTAATATTAGAAAAGGTAACACTTTTGATAATTCTGCATTAGAGAAATATGATTTATAATATTTGGGGGGGAAAGCATACTTTTGCAGACTACTTCATTTATATTTCAGGATTAAATCTCCATTCTAAAATACTATATATTCCCAACTCTGATATAAATCACATTTGGGAAAAGTAAGCTTCATGCTTGGGTGGAGCATCTTTCTTTACAGGGTGGAGTCTGATTTTTGTTAAGGTAAAGGCTAACTGCCCTGATTAAAGCAAATTCCTACATTGCAATAGAAGTAATATAATGCATTAATTCTTGGAATGAGTGTTGGGCTAAGAAACGCCAAAATATGTCAGAGTAAATACCGAACCCCAAAACCAAATTCTCGCCTTTCCTCTTAATGATGGTCCAGGCTTGGAAGGGCAGCAGTATTTCCATGGCAGTTGGAAGTTGGTTTAAAGGAGAGAGTGTAAATCTTTAGGTATCACATTGGAGAAGTCATTTATGATGTCAATCTTCGCAGTTTATTTTCTTAAGTACAATTCATTATTGAACAATGAACAACTTGGGTGTCATATTTTTCAGTGGCTGGTTTGCTGTAATTAGACATTTACACAAGGAAAAGGCACATTTAGAATCATTGATGTTTGTATATGGGTGGCTTTTGTTTGCATTGAAAAGACTTTTAATGGACAATAATCTATAAATTTTGCTTATCAAAATGTGCAAGTCTTTTGACCATGTCCTGCAGTTTTGCTAATTTAAATCAAAATATGCTGCATGTAATTTGGCATTTGTTTTAAAACAGCCTCTACTTTTCTCCGTATAATCGGTGTATGTTTATAATCCATATTTTTCTTGCATTTGCTAAGCAAAGTGCAAAATGCAACCAAGACTGTTAAACGCACAAAGTTAGAAGGCAGAGGAATTTCATTGTGTCTGATGCATAACATTTATCGTACAATCATTTATTTTTTCCTCGGTTTGGCGAAAACAAAGAATATATTGATCCTGAAATGAACAGACACAGCAGTCCGTATTGTTAGATCTTTATCTATTAAAAATGGAAAAACAGCACTTCAGCAAATTCTTTGGCCTCTGCTCATGATTACCCTATTTATTGATTGTTTGCCAAGAATGTATGCATCTTAAGAAAGCCAGGGTAAGAGCATTAAAAATATAATTTATTACGGCTTTTCAAGCAGAGTGCATTAATATTGTACAGTGAAGCAGTGGGGCTATATAAAAAGGACTTTCTGACGCCTGCAAACATATAAGTTCCATAAATTCCTAAATAGGAGATTTCAGCTGTCTCTGGTATTATGTGATATTTGCACAGCAAACTTTAATGCCAGGACAGTTTTAGACAAGGATTCTACAGACTTCACTGCTCCTTATGGCAGACGTGCTGTTTACACAGACTCGTAAACCTTCAGCAAAAGCTCTAACACTGCCTTCAGGTTTAAATCATGCTGTATTTTTAGCAGCGAGCACTGACCAATGCTCTCCCCTTTAATACTAGAAGGTTATGAAGTTGCTGCACTTGGAGGTCTTGCCAAGTGCTAGCAGGAGTGATCAGCCAGCTGAGATTGTGCTCTCCTGTATAACATTTTTCACATTAACAGAAGGACACTAGTGACAGTTCGCTAAAAGATTTAGTGGCTTGATTTGTAGTCAGATGATACCTGTGTCACCCTACCAGGGTCCACCTCTGATAATCTAATCTATGCTGTGCGTCAAAATTTGGCCAGGAGGTTCTCCCAGGTTGCTTGAAGTACCACATTTTGCAGGACGCTGCACCTCACCAGACCCTGTACCTGGCAAAAAGTGTGCTGGTGTGCAGCAAAGTACCTGTGCCTTGTTAGTTGTGTGTCTGATCATAGCTTAATTCGTAGGAAACGGTGAGGGGAAAAAACAAATACGCTTTAGCTGTCTTTGAGCGTATCTGCACTATTTGTTAAAATGAAAATGAAGCTTTGTTTACATTTTATCTTCAGGTATTAACAGTGAAACTACTTGAGAATTTTGAGCCCTTACTCTGAGTCAGACGGTAGTAGGTCAGACATCAATTGTGAGAGCCTGGAAGGGGAAAAAAAAAAAAAACAAAAACCACTACCTTTTTGCAGATGAAGCGTGTGTGTGTGTGTTTTAGAAAGCTCTCCACAGCTTAATTAAAACCAATGAAGAAATCGCCAATTTGCATGTACTGCTTTTGCTTTGGTCTTCTCTCCCTTCCTGACCAGTCTCACTTAGGTTTAAAAAAAAAAAAAAGACAAAAAAAAAAAAAAAGCTCCTTCCTGCACTACATAAATATTGGCAAGCTTTTAGTCTTGTCTTTCATGCTGAGCCTATTGGGCAAACTGGAGTGAGTTTGTGAGCTTTTCCAAGCGAGCCTGAAGGGGTTTGTTTGCCAGAGATTGACTCTCTGGTGAACAGATGTAGTTTAAATATACGTGCTTAAGAGGTATCTTTTTTATTGTGATTTCTTGCTATACGTTAGAGCACAAATCAACAGACGCGGTCTTAAAAGCGTGTATCTATTGTCAAGAGTAAATCTTCTTTTTCAACTATGGTTTGTCTGGTGCACCTTAGCAGATTAGGAGGTTTCCGTAAGTCTAGAGGGCAGTGGTTATAGAGGCATTAACATTGTAGGACTAATTGGAGTTCCTGGGTGCCCTGTTAAAATAACCCTTGTCATCATTTATGCTAAAGATGATACCCCTCTGGCAGGCTGCCATAAGACAGTTCTGTACATCTGCTTTTAACCCTTTTGCTTTCTGTCATTAAGAGATCCTGACCCGTGCTGCTGGAGACAGCGGGACAGGACCGGGGCCTGAGCCCACGGGTCCGAGGTCATGGTGTCATCCGCATCCGTCCGGGAGGGCGGGAGAGATTTTCACAAAGTCTAGAAATCCGACTGCCGGGAGAGACTTTGTGCCTAAAACAGCTTAGGTCATTTGTTACTTCTCTGGCTGTTGTCAAAAGGGAGGGGAAAAAAAAAAAGTCGACTCGGCAGCTTCCTCGTACAAGAACTTGTGGGGTGACCAATTGCTCCTCATTTGACAAATTTTATTAGAGACAGACACAGATTTGAAACACTGGAGCAAATTGTTTTCAAAGTTACTCACTGAATAATTCATTTTTGCCTGATAATTTATACACTGGTAAAAAAAAAAAAAAAAAAAAAAAAAAAAAAGGAAGGAAGAAGAGGCGAAAGGGAAAGAGGTTGTTTGCTTAATATTCTGTGCAGCGGAGGAAAGGGCTTGTCGTATGATGCTACAAAACTAGAAATTAGTAATTACTTTCAGGCATACCAAAATAGCGATGAATACCAGAAATGTAGAATGTAAAGTGCGGGAGGCAGCAAAAAAACCACCCCAGACTGCAGGTACGCTTCTTAAACTGGCACTGAAATCATGATTTGTTTCTTAAAGATGCGAGTGAAAGTAGTGCTCAAGTGCACTCAATGAATGAAGCACGAATTAGCGTTAACTTTTGCCTTGTTTCCTTGCATGCTCTTTTCAGAGCGAATGTATAACACGCAAGGTGATTTGTTGGTGGTGTTGAAGGCAATTAAATATTTTTGGCAGGACTAAGAAAGTTTTAATGTTAACGAACAGAATTATGTAGCTGGTACTAAAATGGCTTACAGTGAAGACATCTGCAGTATGTATTTAGGTTCTCATGCTGCCTGCTACTCACAACAAATCAGACAGGACAGAGAGAATCAACTTCTCTTCAGTCAACCTTGTTATTTCTATAGAAGGTGATTCTTTAATCTGTATCCGATCAAGCGAGGTAAATTTGCATTTTTGCTTTTCAGAGAGATGTATGTTTTGTAGAACTTTCTCTTTTTGGGGGAGGGCGAGGGGAAAGGACTCAGGGAATATGTTTATCAAATATTTGTAATGATTCTTGATGCCTCCTCTGCCTGTTCGTACAGGTTTTATTTACATAACGCTGTATAGACCCACCTACTCTACTATAACTCAAGTTTAATATGTTAAATTTAATTTTTTTTAATAGGAAGTATGCTTCCAGTTTTCTGTGTAGTGGAACATTATGAAAATGCCATTGAGTATGATTCTAAGGAGGAGCATGCAGAATTTGTGTTGGTGAGGAAGGATATGCTTTTCAACCAACTGATTGAAATGGCATTGCTATCACTTGGATATTCTCACAGCTCTGCTGCCCAAGCAAAAGGTAAATAAGATTATGAAATTATACGATGAATTATGTTTGTTTGTGGGGTCTTGGGGGAGGGGCAGGATTTCTTTCAGGAATGTGATGCAGGTTTTACTTCTGAAACTTCTTGCAGATTCTGTCTTTTTTCTTTTTTCCTTAATATATATTTGTTTAGTTAGTGCAGGTTTTGTTCCTGGGGAATGTGGAGGTAGATTCCTTTTTTTTTTTTCTGTTTAAAGAAAAAAAGACTTCAACTGAATCATTAGTATGCTTATTGACCTTAATAATCTGCTCCACTGAGGATCCACAAGGAAGTGTAAAGCATATTTGAGCAGATGGACTGTTGAGAGTCAACTTGCATTTATGACTGAACATCCAGCTCTATTTCTTTTATTTTGTTCCTGATGGTATTATAGACTGCAAAGCATTTTTATTTTTTTTTATACTCAGCCCTTGCATTGCAAAATCCTTTCTAATTTATGAAGAGGAATGCTATTATATCATGTCCTATCGAATTCATGGGAACTTAGAAAAACACACTTCTATACATATTAAAAAAATCCCTACTGTAATGCATTTGTATAATTTCATAATATAGATAAAGCATATCCTTGGTGGTGTGTGGGTGGGGGTTTTTGGGGAGGGTGTTCTTTTGTTTTGCCAGATTTAAGAGGCTAGAAACAAAGGTGGTGATCTTGTTAAAATCAGATATTTCTTTTGCCCCTAGGAATTAACAGGTAAATTACTACTTTTCAATTTTTCCTGCCCTTCCTGCCCACTCCCCCACTCCTCAAAAAATAAAAATCCCGCAGGGCTTATCCAGGTTGGGAAGTGGAATCCGGTTCCACTCTCCTATGTGACAGATGCCCCTGATGCTACAGTAGCAGACATGCTGCAAGACGTGTATCATGTGGTCACACTGAAAATCCAGTTACACAGGTAAGTCGCATACCAGTTCTGGGACGTGAACTGTTACTTGTCTGCTCTCCCTGTTAATGTTGCTTGTATTAAATTCCCACTGTGCTGTGTGCTCCAAGTACAAAGCCTTATCGAAATTCTTTTTTAGTTATTCCGGTTCTTCTTTAACTTACAGTATACTATTGCAGAAAACTTTTATAGCTCTGGTACATAGATTTTCTTTGGATATCTCATTAAAACTATATTGCATTTTAGTCAATTAAATGATGCATTACAAGAAGGCATTTTACATAAAGTTTACTTAAGAGAAAAATATTTTTGCATATCATGAACAGTACCATCTGTGTGCATTTTGTAAAAGAATGACTTGCTCACACTTATTGTTGCTGTCTAGGTTCTTAAATTTCACGGTAACAAAAAAGAAAAAAACGGTTAATATATTAATGCTTTTCATGATCAGTCGTGAGAAAGCATTACACCTTAAATTGTTTTACCAAGCGCATCAGAGCAGGAAGGTAGAAGTAACATGAAAAAATAGTCGCCACATGCAGCTGATGTATAATTCATGCATCAATACAGCAGATGTGTTGTATAAAGTAATTAACTAATCGGAACAATCAGGAGACCGAGAGCAATCTCCAGATGCATCTGCTTGATGCGCAAAATGAAATCTGTCTGTCTTAAAGGAATGTTCTGCAGCAGGATGCAATCTTGTAATAATCCCTTTTCTAATCTGTGTTTCAAATAGTTGCCCTAAACTAGAAGACTTGCCTCCTGAACAATGGTCTCACACAACAGTAAGAAATGCTCTGAAGGACTTACTGAAGGATATGAACCAGAGTTCATTGGCCAAGGAATGTCCCCTTTCACAGGTACTTAGCATAACATGTAATAAATAATAAAGCACTATAGGCAGCGATGATGTGAGATTTGAGATTTCTACAGGCTGTAGCAAGTAGGACCCGTGGAGTGAATCTGCCAAAAATGCAAATTCATTTGACCACTTCATGATCTTTATAAATACGCCTGATTCATTTTGAACGTAGTCTTACTACGTTTCCCATGGGGAGTCGTGAAAGGTTGTTTACACCACACTAAAATTGTCTCACAGCAAACTGGATTTTAACTGGTTTTTGTCTTCAGTCTTTGAACTGCTTTGATGTAACTACTTTTTTCAAGCACATGTGTTCAAGATGTTAAAAGGCTCTTTACTTACTGCTGTCAAAAGTACTATTGAATCTGAATGCTTGTTAGATAACCTACAGTAGTTTTAAATGCTAATTCATAAAATGAGACAGTCTTTGGCATGCTATATGAGAAGGGAATAAAGAATAAAGCTCTTTGGATGATGTGTTGTTGTTGCAAACAACCAAAGGAAAATCAGCCATTTATTAGTTCTAATCAAAATATACCTAAACAAAAATGAAACCTCAATTTATGCATTGCTAAATCTTGAGCTGATGCTTTCCTCAAGCCTCAGTCGTATTGTTCTTTTTTTTTTTTTGCCATTCTTTTGGTTGTCCTTTTGTCAAATTACTGTGAAGGTGCAACTTATTCTTCTACGCAGTACGGTGTCCAATGATGTTGTGGTGGGAACATAATATTTATTTTTCCCGTTTAAATTTTAAAATGCATTTTGTTGTGGTGCAGTGGAGACAAATTCAATATACAAATAAACGATGCTAGTTGTGGTAGGTAGGGGAAAAAGGAAATTAAGGAAGTCAAGGTATTTTGATGGGGATTTTATTTCTTTTGCTCAGAATATTGGAGTCCTTGTCTCCGAAAGACTTAAGTTAATCTGTAGAGGGCTACTCTCTTTCTCTGTTTGTCTTTCCAGTGGATATATTAGCAGGCTGTTTTCCCATCACTTTTTTTTTTTTCCCCTATGGTGAGATTGTTTTCAGTGATGTGTCTCCAATATAGGAAGTTCTGAAGTGGAAATAATCAAAATTATCTCCACTGGTTGCAAACCATTCCAGTAATATGTCTGCAAAGTTATCTTGTATATACCTACTATAAAAACATGTGAGTTTTTGCAGTGCTGGTTTATGCCAGCACTGCAGATAATTTGGGATTTTTCTTCATTTTAATATATCTAATAGTGCTAGCTTTTACTTGATGTGGATTGAAAGCAAGTAAATTCTATCAAGATGAAATATTTCATTTCTATTTGAGCATCATGTTTCACATAGCAGCTTCTGTATATATGTAGATGATGCAATGATAAAGCAGAAAAAAGTTTTTAAAAGGAATACTTCACTTGAGACAGTATCATGATACTGGAAACAATCCAATAATTTCACTCTCTTTTATAAACTGTACTGAATTCTTGTATTATAATTTTAACGGACAAACACCATCTTGCCTAATAACAGCTCTTGGAGTTAGCACTTGAGATGACCAAAACCCCACATTACAGAACTCTGATTTGGGGCTGTTTGTTTACTGGTTTGCACTACTTTATTTGTGGAAGAATATACTTAAAGCCGTGAGCTGCTTTCTGTTGTTAAAAGGACACTTATTACTTTTGTCTTCTCTATCTTCGCCAGCGCTGCAGTAGTTGAGTTGCAAGAATTGAAACAGCTTCTGCTTTTCTTTTTTTTTTCTTTAAAGATCAAATCACATTAAGCTTAAAATACATTTATTTATTCTTAACGTTTGGAAAAACAAGTGGTTGATCGAGAGCCCATCAGTCAGTCTAAATCTCCCCATTTCCCTCTGGGAGCTTGAGGGAGGACGCGTTGATCTGACGATGTCCATTTCACATGACAAAATTGATCCGAATGCTTCTCGGATTTGCCCAACTACTAACTCATTGTGTATCACTCCTATGGAAAGGACACTGATTTAAGAGTGTCTGTCTTTTGTTAAATGTATTAAATTTGAGAATTGCCCCGTGGTGGGGTGCTACTGCAACAGAGGTGAGAAGCAAGAGCAAGGTGGCGGTTAGGAGGCAATGTTTCCTTAGAGGGTCCATCAAAATGCCAGCATGGGAGACTCTTCTGAGAGCAGAGCAGTGGTCTCTCCTGTTATGTACTTGCACGGGCATAGGTAATGCTATACAAAGTGCTTCATCACAAATGCAAGCTAATGCGGTGACACCGTACCATGACTTATTAACACTGTTATGGATATAATTTATTAACCACAGAAAAATGACTCAAAGTGGAAACGAGAGTAGTTATCGTTTTCTGTCACTGTCATTAGCAGTGCTCTATTTTGTGTAGGTCCGGAGGAATTTGTTGCGAGGTATTTAAGTTGCTGTGCTCAATGCGTGCCATCTCCAAAGCCCCATTTAACGATGGAAAACTGAGAGTCGTCATCCTCGCTTAGAATTTACTGTATTTTCTTAATTAAGCTTGCATATTGTGTATTAAAAAATTGCTCATATTTATTCAGAATACTGACATTCTATGAACTGGAAAAAAAAATATCAAGCAAACTATTTTTTATAATGCGGTTATATTTAAGGGCTTGAAAATATGTGAGCAAACAAACTTTTAGATACAGTTTGTCTTAATTATAGTGACTTGAAAACTTAACAGCATCATCTACCTGAGTGGGTTTTTTTGGTTTTTGTTTTGTTTTTTTTTTTTTCTTTTAATTTTCACTTTCTTGCCCAACTAAAACCTTGAGACATACAGGTATGAACTCTTCCTGCCTTCCGCAGTAAAATGCCACTGTGACTCTTGCTCTCATTAGGAGAGCTGAATACACGGTCTCTTTTGAAGCTACTGTAATTGTCTCACTCTGCCACTGCTGTGGCCACCCCCGGAGGCCAGGTTTATCACTGGCTACATGAGCCCGTGTCTTGGGGAATCCCCGTTGACACGACTCGGAATTCTCAGGACGGAGCAGAGCAAACGCGCGGCTCCGAAATGCTGCGGCATCGCAACCACCCGTCCTGAGGTTTAGTCTCACATTTTTGGTGTCAAGCAGGCAAGGCAAATGGAAGCTGCCAATTTTAACATGGAAAAGCCAAGCCTGTTCTGAATTACGCGCCGCAGTGTGTATTTTTGTGCTTTACCTTGGGTTTGCAGATTTTATTGCTAGAGACTAGCAGTGTACGCAGATGCCGGGTGAAAGACTACTCGCGTTTGATATGTGATACCGTTTCTGCTTCCTCTCCAGACCCCTTTTGATGGGGAAAGCAACTTGGAATTTAATCTAGGGCTCAATTTTGGGCCATCTTGTGCATTCCATTAAATCGGTGCATCTCGTGAGTGGCCTAGATCTCATTTCCCTCCAGTTTTGGCTCTTTAGTCTCCAAAGGATTGTAAAGAAATTGTTCTACCATCAGTTCTTATTTCCAACCCCTTGCACAGAAGCTCGACTCTACCTTAGTCTGTTGGGAGCTGCTCTAAAGTGATCAGGCAGGCCTGTTGCATTTATTTATTTAATGTTAGTCCTTCCATCTCTCTACTCAGCCTCAGTCATAGAATTTTCATGCTGCTTTTTCAGAGTTTTGCTCTATTTTGGTTTTTAATACAGAATTCTCTTATTACTTTCACAGTTAAAATAACTGAAATGCTACAGACTGTGTTTATACTGATATTAATAAGGGTTCATTTTGTTTTGTCCCCACCGAGTAATCATCTCTCTCGCGCTCTCTCTGCATATATATATATATAGATAGATTAGCTTTTATGAGGGAGAGGAGAGCTACATGGGCTGTTCGCCCAAGAAAAGACTGGAAATTCTTTTGATAATTCTGGAACAAACTCACTGTGTGCTTCTGAACGTTTAGATGTACCCCTTAAGTTCCTCTAACCTTTTCCATGAAAGGAAGATAAAAAGTCACCTACCAAATGAAGAGATTGTAGAGATTAATTAGTATCTGGGCACTGTTTTGAAAATATGGCAGTGATCAGACTTTCCTACTGCTATTATCTCACCTGAATTTTTTCTACAAAAAGATCTTCTAAATGATTGTTGTTAGTATTTGCAAACAAGCTTGGGTCTTTTAAAAAAATTATTATTTTTTTTTTGGCTTTATCAAACCACTGCAAAGCACTTCTGAAATGAGGTATTCATTCTTTCTCTTCCCCCGTGGTATAGCTAGTTTAACTCTCAGGACAACCAATAGCCAGTGCATTGTAGATGAGAAAATCCAGGCCTGGTGTATAGTAGAATCTTGAATCTCATGGTTTAATATGTTTTAAAATATTCTGTAGGGGACGTGCAATATTGCCATCGAATATATCCAGAGTGTGTGATATTCTGGACATGGTAATTTACGTGCATTGTGTTGCTGTTTTGAATTTTTTGGAAGATAGTTGTGTGCGACACCCCCTCCGCCCCCCTAAGTCTGTAATGTCTTTTACATAATTTTGCTCTTGATGCCGAGGGAATGGCATTTTTTCAGTTAGAGGGATATACACATTCCATAAAACGTATGCGCACACAGAACAAGTGCTGGTACCATACCGACGTCTGAATAGTTTTGCACTTGTGATAAATATAGCTATCCTGACTGCATTCTGATCAAACTTCCTCGCTGTAGCGAACGATTGTCTACATCTGACACGGGCACAATATAGATCATATACTTCCCTTCTTGTTCAGACATCCTGCCCTGAATTTGCATGCTGTTTTATGCAGGCATCGTGCAGAGATACCAGGCAGAAAGCTCGCTGGGAAGCACCTGGCCATCAGAGCGAAGCAGCAGTGTAACACAAAATCTCTCACATTGCCTCGCTACCGTTGAGACCCCCACCCTCACCCCTCCAAAATCCCAACCATAAAAAGTGGCAGTTGCTAAAATAAAAATTTCCAGGCTTATAAATAACCAAGGAATGAGCTATTAAGAGTTGCCAAAATACATACTTTTTATGAGCAATTTTTAATTCATGCTTTCCAAAACTGAAAGGTG